ACCTCGCCACTAACGCATCATATGCTGCAATCAACTCCAGCACTACACAGATGATCAAAGCGTGTGAACCAGTTTTTACTTTTGTACTTCTGTTCTTTCTAAAACCCCGGAAGTATGAAAATCTAAGCTGTTCTGTTCTACTTTCACTCCTGGKGATGTCTGCAGGAACGTGCTTCTTCGTAGCGGTAGACAGCTCATTCAATATCTGGGGGATCCTAGCTGCACTTGTTTCCAGCTTCGCTTTTCCCATACGCAACATTTATATCAAGAATTTAAGCAGATTCTCGAASAGTTCTTTACAACAATATTACGCCTTATCATTGTATGGCCTCTGGTTTCTCCTTCCCATTGCAATTATCAAGCTACTTATAACCAACAAGATACAGTTCACCTCTTATGGGGACATACTAGCATCAGCTGGCAGCTACTTAACCTACAATATGGCTTCTATCCAGATCCTTCAAGCAATCAGTCCCTTACACCACGCTATATTGAATTTGCTCAAGAGAATCTTTGCCATATTCCTCAACATGTTGTACTTTTCCGTACCAATGCGTTGCCTCTCAGTAATCGGGTTTGTGGTGTTCCTAGCAGGATTGTTGCTTTACTACAAAACATCCCACAATTTTTCTATGAAGAGAGTATTTCATTCAAAAGGATTGCTAGCATTTGGTTTTTTCTTCTGTCTCTCCATAATCAGTTTTCATTATTTCTCGAGTGCTCCCGCTCTAAACATGGTACATTGTCTCGATCAACGCGCTAGAGATGGAATAGGTAYTGGTCGACCTTATTATGGTGTTGCTCARCCATCTAKGGTGATTGAGCAACATATAACTTCATCATGGGTTTATAACAGAGCATTGCCCAAAGAYGTGCTTCAAAACGTCCATACTTGGCACGAGAGCTTCCCAGGCAGACCAGTACASTTGCACTGTGGCACCTTTAGTTGTGTGAAAATCTTCGCTGATCTTCAACCCGATAACACTACAGCTTCATTCCTGGTCATTAGTGATTTGGTTGAAAATACCATCTTTGAAACCTGGTTTAACAAGCATCCTTTAAATAAAGTGCTCGAAGGAGCAAGCTTTGAGGATCACTTGCAGCAAGTAGTTTTACTTGCCCTGATCTGGCGAAAAGGCGGTACCTACGTTGATCCAAGAGTAAGCATGGAGAAAACACTCCGTCATTTTAGTATTAAAGAACCATGGATTGCCGTCTCATCTGATGCAAATCATCACAACATCTTAGGAATTTTCAACTATCCTAAGGAACACTCGTTCATCAGAGCAATAGGTCAAGTATTTTTGGATAAGTATGCAAAAGACGTTAACAACGAGAAAACCTGGCCAATGAATTTCAAGTTTCGAGAGATTGTTTCGACTGCATGCAGGAAACATTTCGAGCTTTGTCCCAAAATCATCCATTTGGAAAACAGATATCTTTCAATATCAAATTCTTCCAAAATTAAAGATAGCTTCGGCACTTTATCTTACGACAGCCGAGTTCGTGTTGCTCGCAACGCAAATCTAGGGGATGAAATCCAGGGATTTCCAGGATTGCAATTCGTTCCTTTTATAAATGAATTTCTAGAAAGAGACCAACTTCATCGTTCGAAAGCAGGGAGGAATGCCACTTCCTTTTTCAACGCGTGGTGGGGTTCTCCTTTCACACAGTGGCCAACACCAGAAAACATCGATCCTATCATGTTATCAATGCACATAGGAAATGCGATCAAGCCTATGATATCGAAAAATATAGAATATCTACGGAGAAAATCGCCTATTGGATATCGCGATACTACTTCTCTTGAGTTCCTAAGACAACAAGGTGTTGAATCGTTTTTTTCCGGTTGTTTAACGCTACTGATGCAGAACCCGACCAAAGATGCCAAACGAAATGAGATTATTTATTTGGCAGATGTAAACGATGAAGTTAGGAAGCTTTTGCCATTGGAAATTCAACAGAAAGGTATTCTATTGGAGCATAACATGAATGGAGCTGCTCGGCTTAACAAGTTCTCAAGATTTAAAGCAGCTTATGATGTGATTGAAAAATACTCCAAAGCAAAGCTGGTTGTAACACAACGCATCCACAGCGCATTGCCATGTGTTGCCATGGGAACACCCGTCATATTCGTCAATTCTCCCAACATGCCAGGTGGAGGTGGTACAAAGAGTGAAAGCTCCCCAAGAACTCAAGAATTCCATGAGTTGTTCCACATGATTGATTTGTATAAAATGTCCATTGATGAGGCCAAAGTGTGGCTGCATAACTTTGATTGGGACGATCCTCATCCACCTCCGTCTTCAAGTCTTCTGAAGAGGTTAAGAGCCACATCGTGGAATGTCATTCGTCAAAAGAATGCATTGCATGAAGCAGCTCTCAAATTTGGAGTCATTCCTTTTCCACATTCCATTCCTCCTGACGGAAATAAGCAGGATTTGTTTCATTTGATATTCACCACCAAGGGCACACAAGTTATTAAGTTATTTCATGGAAAAGAGTCGGTCTCATCGAGGTTGAACTGGCGACACTGGCGTTGCATCGAGTCGATCTTTTATCACCATCCATTTGCAAAGGTCATCGTACATAGCAACACCTTACCGCATAGAACATTTGGTGTTCTAAAGGAATCTGGCTATGACATTGAGGTCCGAAGGTACAACTTAACAAAGATGGTCAATGGCACTCCTGCACAAAGTCTTATGACTGGAAAGTATTTTGAGGTGAAGGATGGTAAATACTGGTACAGTCACGAGACAGATCTTCTGCGCATGCTCATACTCTACAAAATGGGTGGCGTGTACATGGATACCGACGTTATATTAGTACGCTCCATTAGAGAGTTGCCTATCAATGTTGTTGCATACGAACGAAATGGAAGAAATATGAATGGGGCCTTTATGTATTTTGAAAAAGACCATCCATTTTTGAACAAAAGTTTGGAACATTTTGCTAAAAACTACAATCAATATAGCTGGGGAGCAAATGGTCCACTGCTTATTACAAGCATCTTGCATTCAAAAAATTCAACTCAATACAATGTATGTGTGCTCGATCAACTTGCATTCTACATGTTTCCATACGATAGAGTTATCGATGAGTGTTTTCAACAAACATCCGGAAAAAAGTTCGAAGAAAATATGAAGATCTTCAAGGGAAATGCGTTTGCTGTGCATTTATACTCGAAATTAAGTGCTGCACAAGGTCTGAACCAGAAATTGAAAGAGGGAACGATATGTAAAAAACTTCTTAATTCGTTTTGTGTTTTGTGCGACAAGTGGTATTAGGGCATTCATGACAGACTGCAAGAGGTAACAATATGTAAAACTCTTCTCAATTCATTTTATATTTTGTGCGACAAGTGGGTATTAGGGCATGGAAGGACCTTAAAGTGTCTATGACACCTAATTCAAAATTTTCAGCATTGATTCTAAGTGAAGTCAAAAGTTGAATAGTAAAATATTTTTATATGGTTTGAGTGATGCATCTTGGAAATATCAAGGTTTATACTCCCAATATGTTAATGACATGTCGTCAAAAAAGGCATTTAAGTTTATCTGCCATCACATGGAAATTGAAACACTGATTACTATGAGATTTGTTTTGCTAGAACCTTTCTTTAAATCCTAAGTAAGACAACGATGTTTTATACAGGATTATTCATTGCCCCAGAAAAGTTTTGTAAATTTAATAATGCCTCCTTTGGGTTCACTTGGTATATAACAAGATACTTATTTACTGGAACCGTGGGTAAGGAGTGTGCTTTACGGTCTTCCTTCGAATGCCGCGATGTAGGGCCGTAGCCACAAATTTCTGATTGGTCCGGTTTTCGATGGTTTTCAGTTTTTCTTATATTTTTTAAAATTATTTTTCTTATATTTTTTTCCCCGAAAGTTGGTCCGGTTGAAACCGGACCAACCGTACCGGTGGCTACGGCCCTGCGATGCTTCGGAGTCTTACGATCACGAAGCACGCTCTTTCCCTCTTCTTTCTCTCTTTCCGAGGTTGCGCGGGAAACTGGTAACGAGTAGGACGCGTGCTGAATCATGGTGCTTTTTTCGGACGCCATTTTTTTWAAATATAGCCCAAAGCATAGCAAACGATCTTGAAAAACAGACCGAAAACCAAAGTGAACATGACAACAATCAGCTTCTCGTGATTTTTTTTTTCCGAAAAAGAAAAATGACGTCCCCTAAAACAGCCCTGAGATTCAGCGCGCGTCCTTCTCGTTACCAGTTTTTCGCGCAACCTCGGAAAGGCCAATAAGTTTCAAATATTTTTAGCAAAAAAACCATTGGTTAGTATTAATTACTTCCATGGAGCCATTGTTTAGCGGTTATTCGGGAAAGACTGATCTACAGAGGTTTTGCACCATCACGTAGTGGCAACAATGACTGGAGGCAGGATCAATTCACCTTTTCGGCGATAGCCGTCACGTCGTAAATACTTTGTTGGATTGTGTTACGGTCACCAAAAAACTTGGTCATCGTTCTCGGATTCCCATACAAATTCACTGAGTTTAAAGAGAAAGTTTAAATAGATTTCTTTAGTTCGCTCTCTTAACAGCAATAAGAAAAGCTTCAATCAAGTAAGAAAAACGATATTTTACTTGTATTTAGAGAACTAGCTAAACAAACCAAGTAAATAGTTCATTTAAAGTCAGTACATTTGCACGGAAATCCGAGAACAATGTCCGAACTTCTTGGTGACCGTAACACAATCCAACACAATTTATACCACGTGAGGGCTAGCGCCGAAAAGGTGAATTGAATCTGGTCTAATCTGATTTACAATAGAAATAATTCAGCTACCCATCACGTTTATGGGCCAAATTGGAAAGCAATTAATTAATTTTGTACTGAATTTGTCTACCCAATTGAAATAAAGTTTGTATGTATGTATATTTGATGATATGATAAGCTTCTATTAAACTTTAAGTGACATCAGTTTCACATTCTACGATTCCAGTTTTTTTCAAAAACACCTGTTTTTTTTTCTTTTTTTCTAAGTAACATTTTCTTATATTTGTTACTTTCTTCCCACTAAAGTTTTAATCGATTGATGTCCTCGCTGCGAAAATCAATCCTGGGGAGAGAAATTTAACAGAATCAGTATTACGTACCTTTCTTTAATTTTAAAAAGCTGAACTGACGTGTTAATGAAGAGGCCAGAAAGTACCTTACTTCCTCAGCTAGATAGGTTTGGGGTGGGGTGAGGCGGCGATGGGGAGGAGGTATTTACAGTGCAACTTTTGTAACCGGGGCTACTTGGACCAGTTAGTCAAGAGCAATAAAAATGTAGAATGAAAACAATGTATTCCAACTTTGGGTAGTAATGCCAATCAGAAACCTAGACTGCACGAGAATTGTAATTTAACCCTGATGTTACGTGTAACTAGATATATAGCCATCGTCATTTTCTCGTGGTAACAAAAAGATATATTGAAAGGCTATTGTTTTATGTTGCTTTCTGATTGGGCACTTCCCAAAGTTGGAATGTACTGTTTTTATTCTACAATTTGATTGGTTCTCTCTGTCTAAGTGACCCCGGTTATAGTAGTAGCACGTGCTTGCATGCCTTTGGCAAGGAGCTTGCACAGTACATAAAACAAACTAACAAACCTGAGTCCTAGTACTTGTCTGACTTCCGCTGGTGTTAGACGCCACGTCAAAGGCCCTGAGTTTGCACCCCAGTAGTCCATAATTTCACTAACCTAAAAACAAATGGTCTTCATGTGACGTCACATCCGTTTTCATCATCGCAAAGCGGCATCGGACAGACTGGGGTGAAAAACGAGTCAGCGGTTGGGGGTAAAATCGCTGGCTCATTTGCTATGGCTTCGAAAAACTGTTAATAGTGTTGAGGATAAGCTCTTTTGTTGAAGGTTAAGAAAAAAATTGTGTTTAAATCTCTTACGTAATGATAAAGCTTGATACAATTTTTGTATGTAGAAGGTTTCTAATGTTTGTACTAAAATGTCTTTCCCTTAAAGCCCCGATTCATTTTTGCATTATAAATGAAATTCCTTACTGGCCGCGTTTGCTTTCATGGACAATATGTGAGCCCTGTGGTGCTAACAGTATGGATTAGTGACCCCATTCACACTCAATTGATAATTAGACTAAGGTTAAACGTCGAATTTCACTGTTATCCATTGTTTCTATTAGGTTCGACTCATGTGAAGCTTGACGTTTAACCTGAGCCTTACTTTGAGTAATTTACGCTTACTTTCTCGAGGTTGAGTAACGTTGAAACTTGAGTGAGTCGAGCAAACTTGTCCCTAATGGTCCACTGGGTTATGGCTGTTAAATATCCGACAAGAGATCGTAGCTCTTTGTCGAACTGAAGAGCCCCTAACTATTGAAATAAGAACAAGAATAGATGATGCCACTCTCTCGCCACAGAGATTTCAGAAATCTCTTCAGAATACTAAATTTCATATCAAATAGAGAATAAGCGAGTAAATAAAAATGGTGGCAAAAGTATTGTGAAGGGGGGTGGGGGGCTATAAGCCCCTCTGTTTCCCTAGCTCCGCGGTGCCTGGAATTCACCGTCGATCCATCGCTGCTTTATTGATGCTTAAAACAAACGACTTACCCGATTGAAGTTGGCCTTAATGACGACTTTCTCCAGTTGTGTAGTGATATCAGTTGTGACAAAACTGACCAAAGAGTCGTAGTTACTTGCTGTCAAGGGACCCTATACATAGATACATACTGAATACAATACTTTTAAGTAGGATATCATATATCATTCATACGTCGCGCAGCGTTGCATACAACATTAAAGCACATTGCAACTTTTCATGCAATAAGACTCAATTACTGAGGTTTAAAGAATCCTAATCAACTACGATGCGTTGCGCGCAGGATTCAAAACAATCGGCCATTTTCTCTGCCAGGCAAAATGGCGGTTTTGTAGGTGAAGTTTGAAAATCCTGCTAGACGTTTTAAGGTAATCAAAAAATAGTAGAAAGTTTTAGATTTATGTTCACGGCAAACGAGAAACGTCAGTTGACCAGTAAAAAAATCTTTTAAATTACTGAAAAAGAATCGCAAAAAAGTCCAAATAGTAGAAAAACAAAAGAGTATTTGCACTTGGTGAGAAGGTTTGTAAAAGGTAAAGTAAAATACAGGAAAACTATGAAAACGTGGTCACGTTAGCCGTTTGCGGGGAGAAAAAAAAGTCAATCTAAAACTCTCTAATGATGCGTAGCCATTTTATGCTTTCCATGGTTTTGCAACGAATCTAAAGTAGATTTCGAAAGTTGTGATGTCTAACAGTTGGACGAACGAAAAGTCATAATGTCTTAAAGAGAATCTCTCTGAAAAATTCAACCTACATGCTGTCGAATGAAAGGAAGGAAACTCTGGAGACTTTGGCATAGCGAATTTATAGAACGTTTGTTTCTCCAGTGCATGGAAGAGCTTCGAGAACGATGTAGACGAACAAAGTAAACAATAATATAGGGGTGCAATGCATTGTAGTTTACTAGGATTCTTTATAGATGATATATAAGGCATTGAATCTTATCATCTGTTCCAAATGAAAAGGAAATAACGTCGCTAATAAGGGTTTGATAACAGCGGCACAATAACTAATGAGGTTTCTATTTCTGATGCAATGGCTGACTTGTGTTTAATTTTCGCTGGCCAATTTTTTCGCAGCCTTTAAGACACCTCAGTTTTTGCAGTAACGTCATCCATACGTCACTATTTCAGATCAACTGGAAGAGAGGCTTTTATTGACTTGCCTTGAATGAAGATAGGACCGCGTCGAGATTTGTAATGAAATTTTGTACGAAAGGGTCGTTTACTTCGAAGTACGCAAATTCTTCCTGTGAACGAAAAAATATAAAGAAAACCTCTAACGAGCAGATATTATAACAAGTCAACAAATTCACAAACACAGCACCAACCAAAAGACGAAAATACAAACGCACGGGCAGACAGAGAAAGACACAAAAGAAGATCCATCAGATTTGACCGTAATAGACCTACTCTGTTCGAGCGTAATGTTGACCCATTTAAGGTGACTGCCTACTTTTGGAAATTGATTTAAACTTTTTTAAAAACTTCGATCTTCCGAATTGAAATTTAATGCTGATTCCAAATCTGGAAAGAAAAATAGGGGGTCCCTAGCTCGTTTTCAAGATAATCAGCATTTAATGGAAGCCTACGCACGAGCTTTTGGAGTAAAATCTGCGCCACCTTAAGTGATTAGAAAAAAATTAAGATTCATACGATAATAGTTATTTGCAGACTATATGATTGCACGAATGAAGGCTAGTCAATCATTCTACAATAATACATGGATATTTTCGACAAAAAGACAAAGAGGTACATTGGTTTGTCATATTTTGTAGTTTCGGTGCTCAAAAATCTATTTTTTCATGTGTTACTGATTTAGACATTTCCTAAAATGTTTATATAACCTAGATTTTTAGGAGTTTTTTTCGAATGAGCTATTAAAAAATAGAGTCCCATGCAAAATTTGAGGGTTTTGCCCTGTTGAAGCTCAAAACGCGTATGGTTCTTCAATAAAATCTTGTAGATTTTTCAGCGGTTTTTGAGCGCGCGCACATCGTGGGCTCAAATCGAACGTTCAAAAGTAGGCAGTCACCTTAAGAGCATCGTGTCATTCCATTGAGAATAATGTTCTTTGTTTGAGTTGTATCCATATTCATGTGTCTTGTCATGTGCAACCGAGCGCAAACCTTAAAGAAATGATACTCTAGGGAATGACACGTGGTCTGAAATGGGACAACATTACGTCAGAGCCGAGGAGGTCTATTCGTTAGCTTCAGTTTCTTGGAGTAAATATAAATAAAATAAATATAATATCGTTTTTATAGTGGGACAATCGGTTTATTATTCACCTCCGTGATGTTGTGGTTGATAGACGTAAAGCCATCGATAATAGGCTTGAGTCTCGGTAAGATAGCACTGTTGCACAGTTGATATACACCACCCTAGAAAAGTATTAGACAAGTAATTTCCACGTGGAATATATATATATATATATATACATAATTTACCAGCCTAACGTCGGTCCGGTTAGGGAAAAACAGTGCCCGAGGTCACTTGAATATACCGACTGAGGCAGTTAGACCGAGGTCCATTTTCAACACGAGGGTACATATTTTCTTTATCCGCACTTTAGGCCGGTAAATAACTTATTTTTCAAATTTAGGCCCCTTCTACATATCCGGATACTTTCTAAAAACGGATTTTTTTTCATCCCGTTCAAAAAAGTATCGACAGTATTTTCGCTTGTCCACACGTATCCGTTTTCGAAAAGTTGCGTTTTAAAAGCAAATCCACAGAGAGAGAAAAACGTTCAAAATATTCTCGTCCAATCGTAGCGTTTTCGAACTGTTTTCGCCCGTAAACAAGTATCTGTTTTGCAAAAGTTGCGTTTTCAAGGCCATTCGGCAAAGATTTTCGTTTTCAAAATTATCCGGATTCGTGTGGACGTAGTGTCATAAGAATACCACTCAAATGCTGACAGTGACACGAGGTCTGGACCGAAGAAAAAACACTACGCCCAAGCTGAATGTCAAAGATGAACAGAGCTCAGTTAAACGAGAAGAAGTATGACATATGGGTGTTAGCCAAGTGAGATTCCTATGGATTTCAAGACCTCCCTTACACCACACTATTCTTGGGGTTCATGTGGCGTCATAGCCTCCATTTTGGTTGACTTTGACAAAAGATTCGGCCTTTTGTCATGTCAACCAACCAAACCAAAATATTAAATACCTGCAAAAGTTCCTTAAAGATCTCTGAAGTCGAGAAAAGGTCAGACAAACAACTCTGAAGAAATAAAAATAATAATAAAAAAAAAAGTTTAAATATGTTTCGATTAATTATTTAACTATAATTCAATAGTCTCAAATATGGTGTTAAAACAAAAGGTAAGTTGCTCTACAAGGTGGATATATTTCCAACTTTTTTCAGTTCTCAATATGGGCGCATTTACCATTTAGCGGAAGTCAACATTTTCCCGCTTTTTTCAGTTTTTCCGATGAACGCGTGCACCAATTAGCGGAAGTCAACATTTTCCCGCTTTTTTCAGTT